AATGCAGCAGCGACATTGAGAATAGTAATCCGAACTCACAACCGACGCAGAAGGACAAGGAGGTGCAGACAAACACGGAGCCCAATGAGATAAAACCAGCGACTTACACATATGACACGTTGCTTGTTTCGGATGGCAGATCGAAGCATAAGAAAGCATCCGCCGCACAGAAGAGCCAGGACGCCGAACCAATCGAGGCTCCCGAGACCTCCAAAACTGGTCGTTACGTGTGTTGCGAATGCGGTAAGTAGCGTTAATTCATTTAACTCTAGTATTACTCCTTATCTCAATAAATTTATTAATTTATTAATTTATTTAAAATTTGGATTGATAGATATACCGTCGAGATGATAAACGCTTTTGCGATATTACACGAATTACTAGCCTCAATCCTCCGTTAATTCTCGTATTTTCCTTTCCTTTCCAGGCAAACAGTATGCGACCTCGTCGAATCTGTCCCGGCACAAGCAGACGCATCGCAGCATCGACTCTCATTCGGCCAAAAAGTGCATCCATTGTGGCAAGGCGTACGTCAGCATGCCCGCTCTGGCGATGCACGTGCTCACGCATAAGCTGACGCACAGTTGTGGCGTCTGCGGCAAGATGTTCTCGCGACCTTGGCTACTGCAGGGTCACTTGCGCAGCCACACCGGCGAGAAACCATACGGATGCGCTCACTGCGGTAAAGCGTTCGCCGATCGCTCGAATCTAAGGGCGCATATGCAGACGCATTCGGCGGATAAGAATTACGAATGCTCCAAGTGCCACAAGTCATTTGCCCTTAAGTCGTACTTGAACAAACACCTGGAGTCGGCGTGCCAGCGCGAGAGCGACGACCCGGACACGCCGCCATAAGCAGCCAGGACCAGGATGCCGATGTAGTAGCGCCGCGGTTAGCGGCAACGATCAAGTAGGTACGACCTGCGATTCGAGTTTCCTTTTCTCTTCGAAAATTGACGAAGATCGATTTCTATTTATCGTTTTCTGGGTTCACTTACATCGGACGATTGCTTCGCTTAATCACGTTTGCGACACAGTCTGATATTGTACAATAGCGCGAGGATGTTTAAATCTGCTGACATATCACCCACGATCGATCATGACTATTCTCACATTTAGACCTAACAACGCGCCCGAATACAGCGCGCCGTGCTAACCGATCAATCCGCAATTTGCAGCCGGTCGTGCACAGTCGACGTAAACAGAAGATTGCAGTGGCGTCATCACGTAGACTGATAGAAAAAAAAACAAAAATAGTTTGCTGTGTAGACAGTACTTTTTGTCATGGACCAAGAGGGGAAAAAAAGGATGGAAGACAAACGAACGCACGGGAAGCCGCTGCTGGCCTCTCATCGCCATGCGGATGCGATTAGTTTCGATTATTTTACACGAATTCAAGTCGGTCGGGTTTATTGTTGTGCTCGATTGCGGCAGCAAGCAAGTCCTCACGTTCCCTTTGTCTTCGCTACGATGCCTGTAAAGCTAAAAAAAAATTGTGCTTGCAAACTTCAAAGTCGGGTTTCGGATATTTCGTGAACACAAGGTAACTTACACTTAACGAAGTAACTTACAGAAGACATTAGGGAGTTTTTGCAATATCGTGTATTCGGATACGGTAAATGTTAAAGTCAATGATGTTATTTAGTGGAAAATTGAACTGCGCATACCAAGTATTTGAATACATGGTATTGAAAAAATTTCCTTTTGTTTTGGAAAGGTTTTTGGGATCGCTAAATTCGATTCTAACCTTATAATTTTAAAATTCAAAGTGATGAATCTAATATAGCAGACTGAATCTAAAAAAAATAATTATTATGAAAAACTTAAATTACTTCAACTAAGAGGCTTTTAGAATCATTAAATTCGAAAATAATCTGAAAATCGTTAAAATTCAAAAAGATAGTAACCTTTAATGGGAAGAAAGAACATATATAAGATTTTGCTCGAAATTGCAAAATGAGTTAATGACTTGCTACCGTTGTCGAGAAGAGCCTTGGCTCTTTTGTGCATCATAGACGACGATCAGACATCGAATCACCGGTAACATCCAATTTCAACGGGTATCTCTCGGTAAGCGTAAAGTGATTCGATTTACTCGTTCGCTTAAACGTCGCGGATAGGCGGATGGGTGAAAATCTCGGCTGCGCGAGAACGAGGATGAGAAGGTAATTGACATATCGGCGTCTCTAGATCTCACGCTCGTCTCTTCCTCTCTCGCGGGAAGAGAAGTTTCTCTGAATATTTCATCGTGCCGCTTCTTTTGGTTCCGAGCACATATTCAGGCTATTCTTAAAATCGTTTTCCCGATTTTTCTCTCCTTGACGCTAAGAGAAGAAGAGAGTTCGCGAATTGTCACACGGATGTCTGATGAATATCGTTGCCGACGAATATCCGACAAGTAACGAGAATTGAAAAGCTAAATAAAGGTGGTACCTTAAAACATGGTAAATTAAAAACACTCGGATATGTTAAAAGCTCACGTATAGAAAAATTTGAAGAAAGATCTTTTTCATCACAAATACAAAATGTTTTTTTGCAGTATATATGAAAATAATTACGTAAATACAAAATGAATGGAGATTTGGAATTTGACTATTTTTCGACAAAATTTTAAAAGAAATAATCGCGGCTACGTCATACTCAGTTACTCTATTTGTGCTGTATATTGCATTATCGATTCAGCAATACATCCACATAGTGTATATGTTTATAAAATTTGAAATTTTATTGGAAATTCTGTTATTGTGTTCGAGAAGTGCGCTATTAACGCTATTGTGTCATTTTATCTTTACCATTCATCAGACGTAAAATAAGAATAAAATGACGCAATAATGCTGATAACGAGCTCTCCGAACATAATCTAAGGATGTACTTAGCATTCTTTTTTTTAATTATTTTTCTTACCGTACCACTGTTGAACAGTTTTGTCAACGTTATAGTTTGAACTTCAACTATAAACGCTAATTTGAACGATTTTTTGTTTTTCTTTTAACATCAAAACTGCAGGGTTTACTTAAAAATCGAATTAAACTGAAGTTAAATTTGATGAAACTGGCCGTTAGTTTTTCAATTGTTGCCAGGGAAATAATAAAGTTTTCCGATGAAATTTTATATGAAATACACTCTTCAATTTCTCAGCAAAACCATGCTTGATTTCTCCAAAGAGCCGTAAACAGTATGAGCATATGTGCTTCAAAATATGCTCGTACGATCTCCCGTTTAGATCTTTTTAATACACAGAGAAACTTCTTTTCCACACTGGTGAGAAGATCCGTATTTTGATTTGCTAGTCATTTTAGGTAAGTCTACCGTGAAGATACTTCGACATAAAGTGATATCAATATTTCAATATGTTTGGGCGTCTTCTTGCTGAAGATCGATACGATAACATCGGCAGATGCATCTTATTTCGTGAATTCGTAAAAACGACGAATCGAGATGCTTTCAGAATGAGCAGCGATAAAGTCAATCATAGACGAAGTAGTGCAATATATACCTTTCTTTTACGCAGCTTATAAGAGCCCACTTTTTTCATCCATCTTAGCTCGATGATAAAAATTCGCTCGTTATCCTCTTCCGAGAGGAAGAGACTCTGTTTGTAAAAAAATATTTCTACTAATTTCATTTATCAGAGGAACAATCACTCGAAGCATAACTGGAATTAGAAATTTGTGATATATGTAGACTTTAGCTGAATTATCATTTTATATTTTACATTAGTTTAAGGATATTTCGAATGTAACTCTCGCACCGCAGAGCAAGATCTCTTGTGCATTTAAATGTGCTCTTATACGATTTTCGTCAGAATTCTTAACGTAACGCACGCGGATGCTCGCGGAAAGTTTTCATCAACATTTCACGTAAACTGGGCCACCTGTTGAATGCAGAAATGACCATTCGGTGGCAAAAGGGTCGGTCGTACTGCTCCCCTGAATTATGGAACACATCATTTCCTCGGTTGTTAAAAGCGCGAACAAGATCGCGGTCAATTGCAACGTTTTATCCAAATTTATCAATGCTTCTTTCTCAACCTGCGGAAAATCGCGTCGAGAACAGAATCAGCAAAAAGTATCGCGATCCCTTTAACCCGATAAAAGTAGCGCACTCTTTACAAACGTTCCTAGAGATTTTATTATTTCTAAGATATTTATTTTATTTTATTATTTCTAAGATATTTATTAACTATTTTATCTTGAGTTATCTCTTAGTATTTAAAATATGACAAAGTTGCGAGATTATTTTCTTAATGAATTTTTTTCTTATTGCACGTTGCATTGTTATCCAAGTTCCTACAAATAAAGCTTTATACGAATCCATTTTTATATATGTATTATGTATATATATATATATTATTTATGTGTAGAACTTAAGAAATATCGAATCGATTTAACAGTAAATTATTGTTTAATTTAGTTATTTCGTAATTCAGATCGATTCATTGCATCTAGTCATATGACATCGGCTATGAGAAGACACAAGTTCTTTATCTTTTAAAGAAATATAATAAAATGTCTTTTGTATATATAGATATATTATAACTGGATATATAGAAGAAAAAATAGTACTCTCTATTGCTTGGAAGATATTTTTGCGTGAAAACTTCGAGCAAGAAGAATGAAAAAAGTGGATCGCACGCGAGTGTATTTTAACGAACGGTGCAATCCACAACATCATACCAAAGAATATGACTAAAAAACAATAGAGCAGGAGAAAGAGGAGCAGGAGGGTGGAATTAAGGGGAGAAGAAAAAGTACTTACGATCTAGTCAACAAGTTGCGCTTGAATTACATCCTTTTTATCTTAGTTGCCTAAGGCGGTCGCATGTATAAGTGAAGAGGAAGTGATGCTTATTCTTTCTCATCGTATATTTTACCTTACTTTCTCCCCCTGTGCTGTCTAAAGCGTTTTTAATATAACTTAGAGATATTTTAATACGAGAAATTTTACGAACGACTGTATAAGATATAACGGAACGGTTTAATTGTATTTAATTAATTGATGTAATACGCGGTTTGATGTACACTTATGATTAACAAGATTAAACGCCCGATTAAACGTTAGAGAGAAAGAGAGCTTTTAGTTAGTTTTTTTTTTCCAAACGTATTAACACACTAAGGGGAGTAATGCATATAGACTCCTCGATCGTTTTTTCGTGACGCCACCGTAAAATCGAGGTGATAAAATGAACGGGAGGAAAGATCGGCGTTTTTCCAGAAGTCTCCTACTTACGACTCATTTTCTCTTCCTCTCGGGAACGCGCGACGGGCAAATAACGTCGAGATGCATTGAAATGTAAAAATAAGATATGAGAAGCGCGAAATAAAATGCAACATCACCAATGCAATAAAATAATAACTGCGAGCAGCAACGAAATTAGGACGCGGATGTGAAAGCATAAAGTAACCGAGTTGAAAGACGCAAATAAATTTTTTTTCTGTTTTTAATATACATTACATGTGTAAGTGTATTAAAAACAGAATACAACGAGGCGTGTTTATCGTTTATTTATCATGCTAATTGTATATATCTACAGTGAGATGAAATGATTTCACAAAAGTTAAGTTATGAGTATCTCGGTAAACGAATGCAATCTATTTTTACTGGACTCGTTTAAAAAAAAAATACTTGTATTTTGTTCTTATATTTCGTGCCTCGACTATATACAAAGTATAATGCTTTACAAGTCGTCTTGCAGAAGAAAGTACATCTCTATCCATACGGAAAAATCACGAAACTCACATAATTCTGCAGCTCGACCACGTTTTTCGTAATATTTGAAATTAACTGTAGACATTTGTCTCTTATACTATATTACAATACTCGAAACTCGACAGTCAATCGAATCTAATAATGTAACTCGTAACGGTAGTCAATAATAGGAAAGGAGGAATGAAGGAGGATATGCACATGGTCCACGATTGCTCTAGTTGAATCCCAAGCGAGTTCCGTCAGGGGATACATGAACGTCGCGGAACAGTTTACAGTAGTTTTAGTACTGCGAACAAGAACGGCGACAAGAAGCGAAACGATGCTTCGTGGTACGATTTCGCGCACCTTACGTATAATAAAATAGTTTTTCAACTTGAAACTTGCCGATGCAACAAAGTGTGATAGCATGTGCTCTGCTTTCGTTGTCGGAATGTGCAATTTCTCGTTTTATGCAGTAAACTCTCGTATATTTTTAAAATTATATTGACTTACTATCTATTTACGTCGATAAATAATATTTGTTGCTCGTTTTACATTATTCCCATAAAAATAATTAGTAAAAATTAATTGATTAAAATAAACAATGATACCAAATTATTCGATTTTATTTTTGTTTTGAAATTAAGCGCTATGATTTTCTTCCTTTACTGTAACAGTGACTAAAAAGCGTTAGCGAAATCTTGCCATAAATTTAACACATTGATCGGTGCGATATACTCAACGAGAATTATTCTATAAGAGCGAGAAGAAGACATTCTGTTGTAACGGG